CTGGCACCGGACTGAACAGAACCCCCTAGCCTCAAGTTCCAAACCCACGCTCTCCAACAGCCAGGCTTTCATATGGGAAGCTTCAAAGCCTGGTGACAGCCTGGCTCAACCTCTCCAGCCTGGACGTTCCCTCCAATTCCTGCCCCGGAAAACAGCCATCTCCTCTGATCACCTCCCAAAGAAGCCTGTCTGGAAGCCTCAGGCACCTGCTCCTGGAAGGCTGTACTCTTCACCTTCCCAACAAAGGGCCTGTCCGCCCAGTCCTGCTGAGCACACTCCTGTGCCCCCGAGCTCGGAATTGTCCTTTGCTCAGGCTGGGACAATGTAACTCCTCACCCCTCTGGCTTCCAGCTCCAGATGGGAGGAGCCAGGTGGGGTCTGTTTATGGGGGAGGCTTGCCTCATGGTAACTTCTCCCAGTATCTGCACCCCAGCTGTGCCATGTGGAGCCCCCTTCCCACAGAGCCCCAGGTCCCTTCAAGATCCCTTGGCCAGAGCCTATGGCTTCCCGTCGCCTTTAGTTGGGGCACAGCTCTTTTTGATGTGTGAGACACCGGCCTACGCTCTAGCTCTTCCATCTCAGAGTCGAACCCAAGCTCTTCTCAAGGGCTGGTCTGACCAGGCGTGAGTCTCCAACTCCTTTGAAATATTTTGGATGGGAAGGGGGGGCTTTGTTGGCTCCCCTACTCTGGGGCGGTGGTAGGGAAGAGTGGAGGGTCTCCTGGTGTGCCTGGACCCCACAGCAGTGAGGTGCCAGATCTCCCAGGGGCAGCTGCTGCCTCTCAGGCCACTGTGCCCTGCTATGGCAGATGCTCCCTGAGATGCCAGTGACCAAAGACTGGCCCTTCCTGGGTCCTCTGCACCTGCCCTCTCAGCCCCTCACATGGCTTCACCCATAGCCTCCTGCTGGCTTCTCAGGCCCCTGGCCAGGCAGCTTCAGGGGGTGACAGGGAACTTGCAAGTTCTCTTTTCAAACCCACCCAGTTGCTCTGCAAAACCCTTCCTGAGCCCTGAGGCCAACCAGCATGGGAGGGGGAGTGGCCGGTCCACCCTCAGTGCCCTTTCCTGTCATGCAGGGTCCCATGGTGTCATCAGCAAGGGTCTGATCCACTCACTGGTGTGGAAGCTGCAGAGGAAGGAGCAGCTCCGGGAGCTCATCCTGGACCCGCTGGCCCCTGCCTGCAGGAGGATGCAGGAGAGGGTCTGGCACCTCCTCCCCATGAGGAAGGCGAGAACAGGAGAAGCACTGGTGATGATCCTGACACCCAGCGGTCACTGAGCCTCCTGTGTGCCAGGCATTGTCTCCAAACCTCACATTTAGAAAACTCTCCAGCGAGGCGATGTCCGCCTCCACAGGTGAGGAAATGGAGGCGCAGTGTCTTGTCTCTCACCCCAGGCCACACAGGATCACAGTTTACATCCTGGCCTCAAAACTGGGGGAGCACAAAGACTCAGAGCTTGCTGTGGTTGGGGGGTGTTCCCACACTGAGCCCCTCATTGTGAGGATGTGCCGGTCACCGACCCCCAGAGTCCCTGCCTTGGCCATG